AGCTCCCCATCCCTGGAATCTGCTGGAATCTGCTTGCTCCAGGCTCCACTTGGTGCTATGGTTTTGTCCTGGCTCAGCCTTCCTGGGGACTGGGTGTTTCTGAAGTGGCTGGTTTGCTTTTGCTGGAGATGGTGATGAGTCTTGGTCTCCATTTTAGGGTTTTCTACCCTCCCCTCCCAGGTGCCAGGAGAAGGCAGGAGCAGCTGGACTCCTTGCTCCCCTCAGCCTGTGGAAGGAGTGGATGCCTTTGTCTGCTCTGGATTTACACTTGCCTGCACATACAGGTTGCACTGGCTTAAACTCTACTGGGATGCAGCTGGATGGGAACGGCGCTTCCCGGCCTGGAAGCAGTGAGGAAGTGTAAATTGATCTCCCCTTTCCAGGAGGGCACGGGCTCTGCAGACCCCCCTTGCCTGAAGCCTGCACGCCCTCATGGAATGCCTTGTCTTAGGAGAAATCACTTTAAGTCCTGTTGTGTTTCATGCACGTGTCTCCGTGTTCCCAGCTGTTGCATGCAGGGACTTGCGCCTCTTTCTTCGTGTCCCCCCTTTTTTCAGGAGTTGATGTGTGCGTGTGTGTGGCTGGAATAGGAGAGAGGACATGGGGGTTGAGAAGGAATTGGTTTTTTTCTATGGGAAAGAGTCCGGGTGAAAGGAATTCAGGAGACAAAAGAGCTGCAAAGAATTTGATTTGGGGACAAACTTCAGGCTGAGGGCAGTGCTTGTTGTGAGCTGCAGATAAAATTCCATGTTCACATGATTGCATGAGGCTTATGAGGAAGTGTGGCCTTAACCTGGGGAAAAAAAAAAAAAAGAGCTTTGAGACTGGTGACTGCTTTGTAGGCCAGGTATGCTGGTGGTTGTGCTTCCTTCCTTCTGCAGATCAAATGCTGCTGTTGGTTCTAATGACAGGCCCGTGGTCAGCGTCCCCACGAGCCCTGATCCCAGGCCTTGCCCATGCACAGCAGGACCTGAGCAGTGCCCAGACCTGAAATGAGCAGCCTTCCAGTGCCTACAAAGAAACACTCGCTTTCTACAAGCCTTCTCTTCATCGTTATTTCCTGTATAATTAACTACAAAATGTTTGTCTTCTCTTTAAGGCAAAGGTTATTGTGAGCGGGCTGGTTCGGGCTGTGTTATTTTTATTTTTTTGTTTTCCAGGAGAAGGAGGGAAAAAATGAGTGAATAAGAATCTGCTGCTGGGGTTGCATCATTTGTTGAGAGCTTTGCTTCTGCTGTGCTGCAGTCTGGGCTGGTGGGAGCGTTCCCTGGGGCCGTGTCCTGACTGTGCATGGGGAGCAGGGCCCGCTGGTGGCACCTGGGAGGGGTTGGTGTCACCTCCCTGCTGGAGGCTTCCAGGCAGGATCAGTCCTGTCCATCCCACCAGGTCTGGGGGCCGAGGTGTTGGTGCACCCACTGCCCTGGGTGGGAAGGGGGCAGTTTGAGGGGGTCTCCTGCTCCCAGCCCTCTTCCAGCTCGACCTGCTTTAGTTGCTCAGCTCCGCTCACAGCAAGGCTGCTGCGAAGCCTCGGGTTCCCAGACCGTTGACTTTTAAGACATAAAAAAAAAAAAAAAAAAAAAAAAAGAAGGAAGAAAAAAAAAGACCCTGGTGAAGGTAGACATCTTGGCACCTCAGCCTGAGCTCCTGCCCGGGCTGCTGGGAGAGGACACAGCTCGGGCTCATGATGTAACTCTGGTCCCCTGGGCTGGGTAAGCTGCAATATGTTGGAGTTTTGCTGTGCATGTGTTGTCTTTGCCTATAAAGCCTGTTTGGACCTTTGTGAAGGGCACCCGGATGGCTGATGAAAATGCCAAGGAGGAGG